ACCAAAAAATTCGAAAAAATTTGCTATGTGCGCGTTGTCCCCCCTTAACAAAAAAAATTACGCATTAATTTCTATTTTAAAAGCTTTTTAAAAAATGCGGAAATCGATTTTTTGTTTTGATGTTTTTTTCAGAATTGTTGATTTATTAAAATTTTAAAGTTTTTTTGATTGAAAAATGTAGCATGTCCGTTTACGTAGTAACAATATTTAAATCTGAAAACATAATTTTTGGCGTTTTGTCATTGTGGTCATGTCACACTATCATGATCATCATTTTTATTTTCACGCAAACTGGGCAATTATTTATTTTTCAAAGTAACCCTTTCAAAAACAAAAAACATTTGTAAACTTTTTGTTTGTGAAAAATGAAAAAAACTTGTATTTCAAAATAAAGAGTCCACAAAAATACCTTTACTCATTTGCACACTATTCTCAATGTTCAATGATTGCCAACTTAGAAAAGCTCTAGTTTTGATTACTAGTATCTACATTGGTTAGTGTCTTCATTTGTCAAGTGCACTGATAAAACTTTCAAAATTTTGCAAGTTTTTGTGGCCGTAAAGTTGCCTTGGCGGATTTTCTTATCAGCCATCCAATTTGCAAATGCAAGTTTACCCTGTTTTGACTATCCGTCATAGTTATCTTGCCGATAGCACCTGCGTTTTATAGAAAATCTTTTGTTGAGGACACACTATGCCCAATTAATATATCATGATGAAGTTCAAAATTGAACAAACACATTGGCAGTTTCTTTTGTAGTTGTGATAGTAAGTTTCTGGTTAATTTGCCGTTTTTATTAAAACTACTTGTTTAACTAAAACAAAGTCTAGCAAAAAGAAATTGTAGAGATTGACTGTCAGCAAAAAAACAAGAGACTCAGACTGGTGGAAGTGACACTGACAGGGCATTTTGCCGTGTTCATTTGCATGCCTAATGAAGACCAGACAGGACCACCTTTGGTTGTGCTGAGTGGCTCAGTGGTCTTTGGTTGGTTTGTGCCGTACTGTCCGCCACTGTTCACACTCACTGCCAAGTGCCCTTTACCTGGTGCACTTTAAACTGACCAATTTGCAACCGAGATGAAGCCACCGTTTCGGCGCTTTTTCCCTCCTCTCCATTATCTTAATGCTTTACTATCTCATCTTGAAGGGCAATGAAAAACTGCACTTTGCTATGGTTTGAGTTAGTGGTGAATGGCGCTCATACTGCTGCTCTGTTTGCTGTTTCTGCGTCTTTCACTGCACTTTACTCCACATTAACCGCCAACTCCACACGCGACTCTCAAAGAAATGTTTGAACATTTTGCAGTGTCTTCTTTTTTGGTTTTATGTTCTCTAACGTTCACTTGTCGGCACAATTATTTAAATTATGGCTCAATTATTCAGACTAATTTGTTCCAGCAACTTGCAACAGTTACTGTCGAGTTTCTCGCCCAGTTGACCAAGTGAACGAAGGATTCAGTGAGTGTCAAGAGACGACTAAATGAATATTTTGTCTGCATAACGGTTAAGATAGTACATTTCAAGAGAGCGGACATTAACTTGCGTAGTAGTGCAAAAGCAGGACAAAAAAAAGTGGTTGATATTTTGATGTGGTCGCATTCAAAACAATAAAGAATTTTTTCCTTTACTCTGGGATTGCTACAAAAAGGTTTAGGTTGATATGAGAGGTCCTATTGTATTGTATCATTCAAAACATTAGTTTGAATAATATTTGTTTTTAGAAAATTTGTGAATCTCTATGACTATCATCACATGGCGACACACTATGAACACCAAATTGCGTCGCCCCTCTGTTTAGGCTCTCTTTGTTTCTGTTTTTTCTCATCTGTTGCACCATCATTATCATTAGGAAAACATAATTTGAACGCTTTACTGTTGTTTCAGTTTAGTGTTCCATTACAACTATCGTATTAACGATGTTTTTGGTGTGCCTATTGATAATTAATTGTTTTGTACTTTATGTCATCGAGTGTCGCAAGTGGCTGCGCTGGTGCTTGGTGCAGGGTACCACCACCATGAATTTTTACACATAGAAAGGATTACTCATACTCAATCATTGATGATTCTGATCCACTGCTAGTACTTTTGTTACTGCTCAACTTTAATTTGGCTGTTGTTTTCCCCACAGGTCGAGCCGACTTTAGTGGCATTGACAATGCTGCTCTTGATTTTAGCCAACTGGAGGAGTACATCAACGACGAAGCAAACAATAGCATGTAAGTTTGATTTATTCGAAATATGTTTAAACCTGCTCATTTAATTTTTTAAAACACAGATATTTTCAAGATAATCTAGCCAATGAGCTGAATGACACGCCACAGTTGACCACAGTTGCTCTGATCAATGGTTCTAATGACAACGCTGGAACTGCTAGTGTCGTGCCTTCAGTAACAGTTGATCTAGCTAAAACACTATCTATTGCAAGTGTTCCCAACTCTTCTGAAAACTATTTGAGTGCCTATTCAGTAGCCAATGGAAATGGTGGCACATCAGCATCAGCGGTCGCATCTACTTCTACTCTAAATCTGCCTGATTCACCGCCTGATTCAGGATCTGAGCCACCTTTTTCACCGACAAATGAAGCTGATAGTTCTAAATTAGTTTCAAGCACCAGTGGAGCAAGTGTAAACAACGGAACCAACGGAATTGATCCCAGTACAGTACCAAATACTAGCAATACAGTCATGGAGAACATGAAGCATTTCGTTGATTACTCCACGCACTCTCATCAGCTGAACATTAAACTGGAAACCAGTCTGGCTAACCTGCCCCACCAAATGCACCCAACAGTAAGTTTTGTTTTTTGTGCAGGTGTTAATGTTCAGTTATATTGACACTAATTCCTCTCTTCAACAGTCTCACCCTAACCACATCAGTCACCATCACTCCCACCTTAGTGCTCACCATCCCCACCAGCAAGGACCACCGCAACCACTGTCTTTGGATTCAAACACTCAACTGCCCATGTTGCAGTCAGACGGGTCGCCCATCAGTGCCCAAATGGTCTCCCTTACCAGTGCTCCACTGTCAGTCAACTCGAACATGTTGCATGGTTTGGTGGCCAATCCCACCCAAGTGCACTCTCAGTCGATGATGGTCAATGGAGGTCATATGTACCCACCTGCAGAGGAGTACACCGCAATGCAATCGCACTATTCGGTGCAGGCAACAACGGCACCGCAGCCACCGCCTCCTCCTCCACCTCCCGTGCAGCAGACACAACCGCCTCAAAACGCACAACAAACTACAAACTCAAGCAACAACAACAAAAAGCGAAAAGTGTCCGAAGTACAGAGTGCCACTAAATCAATTCACAATGGGTCCAATAGCAGCAGTACGGGCAATGGAAATGGTGCCTCGAACGTTTACATCAAACAAGAGCCGACCAGCTTGTCGCCAGATTCAGCTTTGCACAGTAACGGCAACAACAGTTGCACCAGCTCGAATAATGGCTCAAATGTCCACTCAACGCAGCAGTGCGAAGATGAGTACTACGACTACGGGCCGGACAGCCAGATGTACGCCGATTCGTTCTATCAGTGCATTCGTTTTACTGCGTTCAACCCCACTTCATCCTGTACACTGTACGACGTAAACTTTAAGGAAGTGTAAGTTTTCTAATTAGTTTTGTTTTAGTTGTTTGTCTGATTTTTTACTTTTAAAATCTTAATTGCATAGAACTCAACTGAGTTATCGCGTTGATGCTGACAAAGGTTTCAACTTTAGCAATGCAGACGATGCTTTTGTCTGCCAGAAAAAGAATCACTTTCAGGTGACTGTTCACTGCCAGACACTTCAGACGCCCGTCTATGTAAAGGCACCTGATGGCGCGCTGCACAAAATTGAGCACTTTTACCTGCACTTTTACGGAGTCAAAGTTGAGTCACCAACGCAAACAATCAAGGTGGAGCAATCGCAGTCGGATAGAAGCAAGAAAGCCTTTCATCCGGTCAGGTACGTTGGTTTGCACTGTTTTCAATGGTCATTTTTGACTATTCCTTTCTTTTCAAGTAGAATCGAAGTGAACACAGAAACGGTGTGCAAGATGACAGTGGGTCGACTGCACTTCAGTGAAACCACCTCTAACAATATGCGCAAAAAGGGCAAACCAAATCCGGATCAGCGTTACTTTTATCTAGTAGTCAGCTTATGTGCTCACGTTTCCGATCAGATTTACCAGATTGCCGCTCAAGCATCAGAGCGAATTATCGTCAGAGTAAGTGTAATTTTGACTAGATTTTATTGACAACTTGGCTAAAACTTGTTTTGATTGCAGGCATCAAATCCTGGTCAGTTTGAGAATGATGTTGAGTTGTTATGGCAAAAAGGCAGCCTTCCCGACACCATTTATCACAATGGAAAAATTGGCATCAACACTGACCGGCCCGACGAGTCGCTGGTCGTGTACGGCAATGCCAAGGTAACTGGCAACATCATGCAGCCATCTGATGAGCGAGCCAAAACAAAGATCGAAGAAGTAGACACTCGAGAGCAATTGAAGAACGTGTCCAATATGCGGATAGTGAGATATCAGTTTAAGCCAGAGTTTGCCCAGCAAGTGGGCATTCAGTCGAACGACCTGGAGAACACTGGAGTGCTTGCGCAAGAAGTGCAAAAGATATTACCAGAAGCAGTCAAGGAAACAGGGGACATTGTTCTGCAGAATGGAGAAACAATTGAGAATTTTCTTGTGGTAAACAAAGATCGAATCTTCATTGAAAACCTGGGCGCAGTGAAAGAACTGTGCAAAGTGACAGACAATTTAGAGACGAGAATTGACGAGCTGGAGAGAATGAATTCCAAACTGAGCAAGTTTAACCGTTTTGATTCAATCAAGTCAATGTCCTCGTCGAGCATATTCTCTGGAGGCAGTAGCAATACTTGCAGTCAGTCAAGTTACCGAAACCGACCATGTCGACGCAGCTATCACAGTCACAAATCGTGCAATACAAACACCGCGAAGCCGCCAGTGTGCTCTAATCGCTTTATTCAGTCGGTGATAATGATTCTCGTGCTTATCATGGCCATGTGGTAAGAGTAGAGGTACAATGTGACCACTATGCACTTTAATACTAATTCACATATCCTTCCAGTTTGATATCAATTGCTGCACTGTACATTCTGGAGTACCACCGTCGCCATGAGCACTCACCGCTTCTGAATCATCATCAGACAAATTCCTACTATCCACATGACAATTCACAATACCAAATATCCAACTATCAATCTAGCCCAAGTGTAAATAAAAATAACTACAATTCACCACATATGACGCCGTCTAACCAGTCACCATACGTTCAGAACAACAACGGTTTGTAGTTATAGTTTACTAAAAGTTGCTCTTATATTTAATGCAATGTTTGTGTTACAGAGAAGCACAGTTCAACACCACCAAATACAAGGCATCCTCGTCCGACGGCCATACCAGTGCTGAAACCACTGGTGCTAGGAGTTCCGCATGGCTGTCCTGACACCACCACTTCTGCCCTTTCTCCATCATGTCCGCAGTTTTGTTGCCTTGAAGACAGCTCTCCTTCTCATGTCGCTAGTTCTGAAACACCCAAAGTAAATGAGCCTTTAGAGAAGGCATACGGCAAAATTGAAAGTAAATTACCGGCAAATGAAACAGGCAAACAACTAGCCAACACTAGCACGCATATTCTCAGTGAATTTTCTACGCCTTCTTCATCAAATCCCCCTGGAGGTGGCTCAAGTGGCGGTAGTTTAGGCGCTTTTTACGATCCACTGACAAACCCAAAGTTTGGCGATATAAATGAGTCGAGAGATCCAAAAAGAAAACGCACGGACAAAGGCCTTTCATTTGGCAAATTTTCAAGCTCAGGCATTCAGGACATTCACAATATGGACGACGATCTAGACTCCAAGTCGTCGCATGTTCATCGCCGAAAAAGACGGCGTCGAGAGGCGAGCAAAACAATGAATCTGAACTCACAAAACTTTAATCACTATCCTCGAAAAGATCTCACTCGAACTGTTGATCTGATCAAGTTGATTGAGCTAAACGCCACCATTGATTACTCTTACTGCACCAAGCTTCAGTGCACACAAGGCGTGGGCTCCAAGTTTCACTACATTATACCCGTCTCAAAGTACATGGATCTAGAATATGTCACATTGCAGTTTAGGTAAGTTTAAAAGGTGCATTTTGAAGATTAACTGATTTACTAATGACAACTTTTGTTCAGTTTAAATCAAGATATGAAAGTAGATCACTGTGATCGAAAAGATTCAGCGCCGTTGTCCTGTCAGCTAGGATACTACGACAACATTCCACAATCATACAAAAAAGGCTCTCAACACATTCTCACTCCGGAGAGTAATCCACACTGGCGACTGCCTATTGGCATTTACCAACGAAGCTCCTATGTCTTTCGCATTTTGGCGCGAGACACTGATGCTGACTCGGTATGACACTTTAATTGGAGCTATACACGGATTACTTAAACGATTTTTTGTTGTTTTTTACAGCCATGCACTTTGCCAGATGCGCAAACCGGAAATTCCTTTGTTGAATACAAGTTTGAGTTTGTTCGCAAATGCGACAAATAAAGCGGCACTTCACCAGACAAGACCAAGCACTTTATTCTTACAACCTGTACATTATCACCAACTACACTATTGACATTGTACGATACGCACATTCAGACAATTTAGTTTTAACCCACCAATACTGAGATTCATTGAAAAAGGCTCTCTTGGTCATCTTTTTATTCTGAAAACTTTCAAAGTTCATCTGTTTTGCAATGTTTGAAATATTTCCAGTATATGGGCAATGTGTATATATTAAGTATTTTGAAGCACTATGTTTGTTATTTACAGTTTTATCAGAAGCATTGATAGTATTTTTACAATAAAACAATTGAGTCTATTCTTTTTACAAGGGCAACAATGCCAATGTCATCTATATTTACTGTTTGAAAACTTGTTTTAGATTTACAGGACCAAGAATGCTGTTTTGCTTGCACCAGGCAAATGTGGTCAGTGTGCCCTTTGGCTTAGAGAATAAAGTTTGGCCCGAAGTTTGGGACGGCATTGCAGTTGTGCCTAGAGCAATTAACCATAACGAGCCATAGAATTATTAGCATAGATATTTACTATGCAACACTGCAAAAGTACGGCAGTGGTGTTTTTTAATAACACTAATATAATAGAATAACATTTTTTATAATCGCTAAACAAAATAATTTTGCTTGGGGTGGTAGAAATTTAAGTTAAAATATTTTTGGATTGAGTCTTTGTTGACTCGTCGACTGCGACTCTGTTTACTTTGGAATCAGCAAAGGCAAAGTGAGTTGCCGAAAGAAGGCGGCGGCGAGTAGGGCACAAGAATCCTCAAATCGCCACGAGTCATCTTTAGTCGGCAAAGGCAAACAGCTCGCTCCTCAACTGCCTCCAGCAAAATCATAATTTTTTCATAAAACTTTTATTCAAGTCATCTCTATTTACCAAGCCAACATATACACTCCAGTTCCCGGTACGGCAAACCAAGTGGCACTGAGCTACTCAGCGCTACTGAATAAGCACTGAATAACACTGAGCACAAATTATTATTATTATTAATGTTGTTGATCGGAATAAACAACCAATTCTGGGTAGGTTTACTTTCACCGTTGGAATCGACACTGTTTTTAAAAGAGAAACTAAAACCAAAAATGTTAAACTGTAACTATACAAATGGGTGATGTGTTAACATTATCTGGCAACAGTTTACTGTTCATCAGTTTGTTTCAATAAATAAAATGAGAAATCTGGAACGAACAAAAGATGAATCTTGGCAACTGACTATTGGCGTAGAGAATGGAATCTGCCTGGCTAGCACACAAAACTTGGCCAGGTATTGCAACTATTAAGTAGTGAACTAGAACAACACAAAAACGTGTAAAGGAGAATGTGAAGTGTGAGAAATTGGGCAAAAAAAGTGATGATCATCATGAGAAAAGTCATAGGGAGCTTTTTCGCACCATCAGATACTCAGAGAACTGTTGGCCTTCTACACCACCTCCATTAGAAGCCATGACTCGAAATCCGTGGTTGAGCAGTCGTGAAATGGTTTGAAGTGAGTTCAGTTTGCAGAATCCATTCAACGGAAATCGAATGACATGCTTAGCGTCTTGGTTCCATGCAGCTGCCTTGCTTGAGTCCATAATCGTCTGGCTAATTTCAGGAAAGATCTCCTCAATCAGCGCCCGTTCGCCACTCATGCACACTCGCTCGCCCAGTTCCGGTGATATGTTTACTGCCAAACATTGAAAGGTAAAGTTGTCATTTTCAATGTTGTCATCTTTTAGAGATCCAATGCGGTTGTTTGCAAGTGTGTGGCGATTCATCCGGGCATTTAGACTGAAACCCAGCTTTCCATCAATAGTGGGTTTTCGGTCATCGCCCATTTGTCCAAAATCGTCTAATCTGATTCGTTTTGTTGACAAATTTTGAACGCAATTTTTGGCGCCATTTTCGTTGGGAGAGTCGCTTCTACTGCTACCACAATTTTGGCCTCGATCCTCTCGTGATTGTTCAAGTAACCTTTACAAAGTCAATAAAAATGGGTTTATTTTTAGTTGCGTCTAGACACTGTTTTTGCTCAAACCTGATAAGCGGTTGAATGTCGTAATATTTGGCTTCTTCGTAGAAGAGGTCTAGTTCGTCAAAATTTTCAGGTATGGCCAGAGTGTTTGTCCGCAAGAAATTGAGTATATGGCGAAACATTTTGCCATCGCGATCGATAAAGTAATGCTAGACAGTATTGAAAAGACAAAATTAGTGCTGTAGTAGAGTGAGGAGACTCACTGCTCTCTCTCTCTCTTTCTCTGCAAACCTGCTTTAGGCTGTCCAGCACAATAGGAATGGAGCCATTGAACATGCGAGCCAAGCGACTGTCTGGGTGCCTGTTGGTGCGATTTGGGGTAGAGAATGTGTTAGTGAGACTCGAACCACACACAAACACACTGACAGTCGGTGCGTACTTACTTGGTCAGTGTCTCTAGAGAGGATGTGTAAATAGAGCCGCCCACGTCGATGTGCACGGGTGCGGTGTAGCGAGATGCGGCCGCCACGCATGGAATGCCTGATATCTTGTGGTTCAGATTGACCAGACTCGAGTGCACTGAGTTCGTTGGAGAGGTGCGCGCCGGCGATGAGTTGCTGCTCGTGCTCAGGTACGTGTGAGAGTCCAAAACTGCAGCCGCAGCTGCTCCAGCAGAAGACAGCGACACACTCATCGCAGAGTGGTTCGGGTGAACTGACACTGATAATGATAAACATAATTAAACTTCATTAATTGGAGTTTGCTTGCTGCCTCTCACAATAGAACATTAACATTCAGAATTTTCAGGCGTGCCCCCAGTTAACCGGATGCCTTTGCAGAAAGCTTGGCGCCCAAAAGAGAGTTTGAAGCTGACAAAAGCTGGAAGCAGCGGCACCTAATGGCAATCAATTAGCTGTACACAATGACAGCAACGAGTGGTGCTCTCCATCTGTCAGCTTCCTCTCCCGGACAAGATGTGTCATTGCGGCGGCGGCATCACGCAGCCATCATCGACCAGTGATTAATCAGCGTTTGTTTGCCATCTACACTCTTTGCCCTTACCTGTGCTGCTCACCTCAAAGGCGTAACGAGCATAGGCCGTCAGTACATGCACACCAAATAAATCTCTTTCTGCTTTGTCTTTTCTCCTTACTTTTATGGTCCGGCTGTGAGGCAAATAAAAATTTTAATATTCATTTAAATCGTTCAAGTTATTTTTGGTATTTTGGGTGTGATAACCAATTGCCGGTTGAACTTGAGGTCACCTCACAGATGACTCTATTGTATCATTTGTATTTTTGTGCTTTTAAATGCTCGTTCGTTTCATATTGTCTACATTTTTTATTTTTTAAACTCAGAAGTTAAAAGAACCTTAAAATGTGGTTGAACTTGATCCGAATTGCTTAATCTGACTCGATAAAGACTCTTAATTCAGTAACTTATTGATTATTTATCATTGTATAATGAATTGTATGAGAAAACACACAGCTGTTTCACTAGTTGTTTAGTAAATATCTGAACTCTGTTGCAACAGCATCAGGGCAGTGACACTAACGCTTAAAACGTTTAATGCTAAGAGGATTTGATAACTGATGAATCTCGTTAAATCTTCATCGGTCATTCACAGCAAGAATAGTGTCGTGTTGTGTTTTGCAACAAGTTAAATGATACACAGTACTGATCGTAATTTTATTGTTTAGCTAAACATTGATTTTTGTTTGTGATTAAACACTTTACTTGGATATATTTGCAATAAAAAAGTATTTATCTACTAATAACTGTTATAAATACCAACAAATATCACAATATTAAGACAACTTAGAAGTAAAATAGTTCATTTTAATGCTTAAACAACTTGTTGAAGATGCACTTAAACAGTAATCAAAGCTTTTTGAATTTTATAGCAAATTAGTTCAAACAATGTGCAAAAAACGTTTGTAATAAAAGAAAAAACTCAAATCGTGATTAAAGTTGAACAAAAAACAAAACTGTCGATAATGTTTGCTTGGGTAGCCGCTAATGACGCAAATGACGTTCAAGACAAAAGAGAAAACTCTTAGTGTGAAGCTGAAACAATGATTACTTTGTGTTGGATTAATCTTTTTCAACTTGTTCATCAGCAGTGATAAGATCGAGAAGCTATGTAAGGGTCGCGGATGCGGCAAAGAAAACAATGTTCTATTGTTCAATTGCTCATCTATTTATTTGATTGGCTACAGCAGTAGTAAAAGTATTTTTTGTGGCAGAACATAGTGGCGTTCAAACAAACAATTGTTTGATTGCTATTTTACTTACCTTCCATTACAATCAGCTGGAGTTTCCTTTTACTAAAAGTAGAGTTGTTGTTGCTGTAGCGTAAGCTTAAAACCAGCCACCAGAAAAGTAATGATGAAACAGAGAATGTAATTGACGACTGTTAATGACTAGTCGGTTCAATCATTTAGTGCACAAGTTGCTGTCGAGTATTTTGTATTTATTTGACTGGGTAAATTGTAATAAACTGCCGGACTTTGATGATGTTTTTAAAAAAATGTTTTTTAATCGGCGTTGTTTTTCAAACAGAGATCAACGTTTGTTGCAACAACAAAAACAAATTTATTTTAAATCGTTTTCAAAATGTCAGTACCATAAAAAAGTAAATGACACTTGTTTAAATGTTGCTGAATATGCTAAAAAATTGTTTGGTAGCAAACTGCAAATTGTTAAAGGTAGTTAGCCTATTGTGATGAATTAGCCGGCAATTTTTAAAACATTGAACAGTTTTGAACAGTGGTGTTTTCAGTTTTGAAAGTGATGCACATACTACGGTTGCGACTGTTCTCGTCGGTGGGATGTCTGCATCTGATAGACTAAGGCAATGTGCAGTGCAGTCAGTCTCGGTGGTTGCAGGCGGCAGTAGTGGCTATAGCAGTCGGGCAGAGACAGGCCTGAAGAGCGAGAGAGAAAGAGCTGGCAGTGGTGAACAGAAAACGACAGGCGATCTTTCCTTCTTTCGGTGCCTCTATCTATACTTCCCACTGCCCGAGGCCATCTTTCATAGTCGTTCACTGCCGCTCCAGTCGGATGTTTCGATCTTTTTGGAACCGAGTAACAGCAACAGCACTGTCGATAACTGCTCTTGGATTCCTTATATTTGGCGCACAGGGTGCCTGTGTGCGTGTGTGTGTGTGCACTGAACGAGTGAGAAGGAGGGAAAATATCCCGAAGCCTTATTGAGAAGGCACGACAGATGTTGGCGATGTGTCGCTAAGAGGGGACAGCAGGATTTCGAATTTTAAACTCGCACAAGGGCTCAAAGATGGTTTCGGGCTATCAACAGTAATGGCAGCACTCAGTAGTTTTCACGACTAGCCAGTTTGAACACATCTAGGCTGTAATTTTTTGTTGCAGTGTAGGAACCTTGGTTAATAAACGAACTCCAAGTTGAATCCCTCATTGTTGACAGTCTTTGCCAGATGATCGTCTGGGCCACTGGCCACTGGCCAAACTCACATTGCACTTTACTTTCCTTTATGAGTATTCCGAATATTCTCAAGCAAAGAGTTGCAGAAGTATGGATGGCGCGATAGCAGTAGCTTCCCTCTGATAATTCAATTGGCCACCGATCGAAGTGATGGAGCCAATCGAGTGGTGCACACTAATTGCGGACTGTTAGGCACAAGTTGGCCACCAGCTAATTGATTGCAGGCTGTTCGCTGTTTGCAACCAACGGCAGCCATGGCAGCAGCAGCAGCTCTTCACGGGCTCGTTAATTGAATGAGACGCCCGCGAACCTTGTGCGGCAAAGACATGGCCTACGAAAACAGCAGATCGGTCCGTGGTGAACTGGAGGCGAGGTGCACTGAACAGCTGCAGTGGCAGCAGCAGCAGCAGCAGCGACCAGTCGCCGATGTCCCCTCGGGCGAGTGCCATCAGAAAATTCCCCGGGCTATTGAGAGCTGCCCTGCTCTGCGACTTGTCGTTTGTTAGGCGGCTGCTGCTGCCGTTGCAGCTTTTCACTCTTCTGCGTGCATTTGCATTATTTGCACACTTCCTCGAGGCGATAGTTTCCAAGCTAAAGTATGAGCCCCGTTGATTTGCTGAGCCTCTGCTGTTGGCGTTGGCACAAGCACTACTCTCACTGCTCGTGGCACCTACTTTAGTTTCCACTTCGACAGCAAGGTAACAAGAAAAGTGAATGGCCAGGCGGCCTACCATCACTCAGCTTTGGTTGGTACTCGGGACAGTGTTCCGTATATGGCGAGGCGAATGGCAAGGCTGCACATACCTCCTAGAAGCCATTTGTTTACATCTGCTTTACTTTTGTGGAGCAGCATTGCCTCACTGGCATTATCACCAGCGCCGATCATTCACAGACACTGAAAAGGATGGAGAGAGTACCGTGGAGTACCGCCAACACACACCACCTCATCATAGCACAGCTCGACAGCAGTGCATTACCATATTCATCAAGTTAGAAAAGGTGTACGCCACTCGACTGTAGCTAAATTGGCTCCAAGGTGCGCGATTAGGATGCTGATGGTGCTGCTGCTGCTTCTGCTGCGGCATTTTTTTGCGCAACAATTGAGGTATTGTGTGTTGGCCAGAGAGGGAGCAAAAGAAAGAGAAAGAGAGAAGAGGGGGAAGGATCCAGCATACTAGCGATTTCAATCTGCATAGGATAGTCAACTGGAATAGGTGGCTTTCAAGGAAACGTTCTCTTGGCAGTATCCTTGCCAGAAGGCACAAGCTGCCGCTGCAGACCTGTCCACCAGCCAGAGTGTTGCCACCGGCCAAAGTGTGATCGGTGGCAACCCATCTACGAGTCGACAAGCATGAACAATTAATATAAGCAGTCAGCAGGAGACGATTTGACCTGAAGCATCACTGCTGCTGCAACACTTCCAGCACACACTGGCACACACAGACACACTCACACACAAGCACGCAGCCAAAGATGTGCACAGCAAATAGGTAAAGCACCGAACACGGCGAGCCACCGAACAAATATTTCCAATTGTGCCGACCTCTAGGGCACAAGCTGTCTTATCGACACCGACGAGGCCATTCTAATCTGCACTGTTTGCATGCAGTAGACAGACATTCGTGCAGCTATTTTCCTTTTTAGGCATCGCAGCTTTCTTTCCTCTTTTCTTAATATGCCACACCAGGCGATGGTATCGCACCGACTTTGACAGTCAACTTGGCGTCTCTTACAATTCACCAAAAGGCTGCCTGAGTTTGAAACTTTTTCATAAAGTTTTAAATAGTTTTGCAAAGAATACTTTCTTTTCAATAAAAAGTTTGTGGGTGTAAAATGCATAGCTAAATGAAATATTTAACTTAAATTATATATCTGACGACAGTTTGGCATCAACAAGTTTAATTATTTCTGAAAGTTAACATGTAGTATTCTAGTAGTGACTCTAAAAATTCTGAAAATCATTGTTTTTTAGAAGATAATCTAAATGTTAGATGACGTGGTGCTGACGAATGAAAATTGAAGGCATGTATGCATGTTTGCTGACCAGAAGGTTAGCTGATAGAGGTAAAAAAGAGTGCCAAATTTACAAAAAAGCACAGTTTTATAGGATAGATAAAACAACAGTGTTTAAAGCTAAAAACTAAGAAAACTGGACATTTTTAAAAGAAACAAATTCTTTAGTGATACGATTGCATTTAGTGCGATTCAATTTTGAATTTTAAAAGGCTCAA